ATATTATATTATAAATGAAAATTTGTTATTTTTTGATAATTTTTCCACAATATATTTTTTTAAAATATATATTAAAATTAATATATTAAAATTTTAATATTTGTTATATTATAATTTTCTAAAATAAATAAATAAATTTTTACACATACATAAATATTTATTACAATGTTTTTTATCTTTAAATTAAAATATATATTACTATAAAAAAACAAATTAAATTATATTTTGTACATATATATCAAAATTATTTAATTTATTGTAATATTCAAAATAATTAATCAAAAAAATTATTTACTTCATTTATAGTTGTTTAAATGAAATGTTTTTATGATAATAATATAATATCATAGTAATATGGCATTATAATATAATCAAATAAAGAGAAAGATCAGTAATCATATTATGTAATGAGAAACATAATACAGATAATTTTACAGACAAGATATAATATAGATCTATCATTCAATTTTATAATTGTTGTAAATAATTATAATTATTTTTGGATGTATTATTTTTAAAAAAATTTTTCTTTAAAAAAATTCAAAATAAAACATTTTATAAATTTACAAAAATATCATTGTATTCTTTAAAATATTTTTACGATTAATATTATTTTACATATAAATCTTTTTAAAATTAATATGAAATGAAAAATGAATGCAAAACGAACAAATTTATGTAAGTATATAAATGTATTCCTTATTTACGGAAAAAATAAAAATAATTCAAAATAGAAGACAAGTATGTTTTTGTATATATTTATATAATTCTATTATATAGTATATATCATTTATATTCGTTTATATCATATATATGTGTAGTATTATAAAATATATTCGCTTTAATATTATGTATATATCGTGATAAAGTTTGAATCATTATTCATGAAGACTTTCTGAAACTTATATATATGTATTTATATATATATATATATAATGTATGAATATTCTTTTTAAATTATAAATTTAATATTGTTCAAAATTGCATTATAATAATATAGAATTAAAGTAAAATTTGAATTCGTTATCATCTCATATTGAATCTATTAATAATTTTCTTATTGTATTTTAATAAGAAATTCATGTTTGAGAATTATTTTTTAATCGTGAATAATTCGTCATTCTATCGCACGGCAAATTGTATCGACAGTTCACTAATCTCATTGTTGATCACATGATACAATATACAATATAGAATTTTTATGTATTGATGTAATAGAAAACATTTTTTATTATCACTACTAACTTTACAAAGTTTAGCAGTTAGATTGATTATACTCCTAAATTGCTTTAATTCATAAAAGATTCTTTTTACACGATCGGTATTTCAGTTTGTATAATGCGAAGTTCTATAAGTTGATAGATCTATTCTATATCTCGTTTTTGCTAATGCTATTTATTTAAATCGATCCGATATTATTCATGTATAAAATTATAGCTAAAGATGTGTACAGTCGATAAAAAGAACTGGCAAAATGGCGATTATTAAGAGTTATGTTTAGTATCGCACTAGTTTTTCGTTTCAAATTAAACGAATTATTATTGTAATTGTCAGTGCAAAAAAGATATATAAAAAACATGGGAAAAAATTACATGTGTACAGTGAATAATGAAAAATTAAAAAATATCGATCGAACATGATTTTTGTAACATATTCAATCGTACTCCGATTGATATGTGTTTTGATGTATATGTGAGTTTTTCTATTTATGCATTGAATTTTAAATCACAAATACAAAAGATTATTCTTTTATAATGAAAAGAAAGTAACAATCTTATTAAAATTACATTAAAATCAAAAATTCTATTCAAAATATATGTATACAATTTTTAATATAAAAACAAATAAAATAATAATCGAAATTTTACAAATGTATATAAACAATTTTAAGTATCTAACTTCCACTTTGAATACAGTGGATCTGAAATTTATAAAGAATGGTAAAATCTTTTTTATTTTAAATTGTATTGAATTTAAAACATTCAAATTTGATCAAATTGAAAATAAAAAATCATATTATGTAAAATATCATAAAAGAAGAGTATATCAAGAGTATGACTATATAAGTGATCAAATGAATTTATAATCATGTAATTAAGATATTTATATTCAAGATATAATTAGTAAGTACAGAATAATATTTTTATTACATAGAAAAATATTGTAAAAAATACTAATATAACAATACAATGTAAATATTTATAGTTTACATCATGGAAGATTATACTCCTATTGATGAAGATTTTCCTGGTCGTTTGTTACACCAAGCTTCTTTATGGGATAATGCAGAATTATTAGAAGATCTTTTAAGAGGAGAGCATGCACAATATATAAATAGTCAAGATTCATGGGGTAGAACACCATTACATGCTGCAGCTATTACTGAAAATTCAAGATGTTTAGATGTACTACTTTTTGCTGGAGCAAATCCAAATATACCATGTGGACCCAGAGGTCATTATCGAACACCATTACACATTTGTGCAGAACACGGTCATAGTTCCAATATTGAAAAACTTTTAAAATTCAATGCTAGTCTAATGATTCAAGACAATAACGGTGAGAGACCATTAGATGTGGCTGAAGAAGCTAAGCAAGATGTTTGTATAAATTTGCTTAAATCAGCAGCTGAAAAATATGAATTGGCAAAACTTGCTGTACATGCTTCTTTGCGTGCAATATGTATTCAAGGAGATTTTGTGGCAGCTAAAAATATTATTCAAAATCATATGTCAGATTTAGATTGCATTATCAATATGGCACCGAATGGCGCAAATACTCTACTTTTTATAGCCAGTGAGATGGGTCACAAGGATATAGTTCGTTTGCTTTTAGATCATAGTGCAGATTGTAGAGTGCATCCTGTTACCAAATATTGTCCATTATATATAGCCTGTTACAATGGTAAAGTAGAAATAGTAGAATTGCTTCTTCGACATTTTCCTAAACAAGTACAATCTTTAACCGTTGAAAAATGGTTACCGATTCATGTAGCGGCTATAAATGGCCATCATTTAGTTATTGATTTATTATTAAAATTCGAATATCCACAACATACGTATCAACGCTACAAAGACTCATCCGGAGAATTTGAATACGAAATGCCATTTGATATCAATTCTCAAGATGTAACAGGACAAAATATTCTTTACATATCTAGTATGCTTGGAAATATTAAAATCGTAGAGTTATTACTGAATTATAAAGTAAAAGCGAGAAAAATTAAAGAGGAAGATATGGGAGTGGCGCAGCCACTTCCTATGTCAAAAAGAAAAATTTCAAGTGGAATACAAAGATTGATGTCTAGTTTGAATTTTAGAAGTAAAGCGTTCGATAAAAAGGATGACAATATGATATGTCCATTAAATTTAGATTTGTATTGTAATAATGCCACTGAAACTTCTTTACATGCAGCGGTGAAAGGCAAGCATACAGAAGTAGTTAGCGCTTTATTATTGGCAGGTGCTGATCCTAATTTGCCTGTGAAAGTTCCTTACGATCAGAACGATCCAGAAAATAATTATTCTAGCGCGTTAATTATAGCTTGTCAACAACGTGACATAAAAATTGCAGATCTTTTATTGAAACACGGTGCCGTGGATAATACATGTAAAGCAATCAAAATTGCTGCACAAAACCGTGACGAAGCTCTCACAGCAAAATTATTGTCTATAAAAGCTTATCCTGATTCAGAATACAAAATCAATAAAAAAGCTATGACTGAATGCACTCAAACATCTCATTTTTCTGCATTATCCTCTTTTGGCAATGTCACATATTCGACACTATTTCCAAATACACCGACAATGATAAATTGGCATAATCAACAATGTCATCTCTCACAAATACGAGCTCAATGGTTAACAGATGCTGTGTTACATGTAAATAAAAAACTGAGCGCTAAAAATAATGATTTGGTATTATATGCTATCACGAGGATAGATATTTCTCATAATTCCATCACTTCTGTACCATCTATTGTATTTTATTTACAAAGCCTACGGTATCTTAATATGGCTCAAAATAAAATAGATACTCTTACAGCTGAACCAAAAAGTTCTAAAGATAAATTGTGTCCAGTTTTAGAAGAGATGTATCTTCAAGACAATCGATTGGAACAATTGCCGGAATTCATAATGAGCTTACCTACATTGGAGATTATGGATGTCTCAAACAATAAATTACAATGTCTTCCGGATAATTTATGGCGAGCTCCAAAATTAAAAGAATTGAATGTTTCCTTTAATTTATTGAAAGATTTACCAAGTCAAGTTTCTCAAAATATTACACGAAAAACGCAACGAGAAGATTGTTTGAATAATAGTCCTAGCAGTCGAAGTTTAGCATCTCAATTGGCTATTTCTCGCGAAGATTCTTTAGAATTTGAGTCATTTACTAAAATAGCAAATGCACAAA